GTATAAAATGAAGTCAAGCTTTTAAATACTTATATTTGTGTGATTCTGGGTCATTATTGATGGCGTTTTCTTGAGCCAAGTTACCCTGGCTGCCTCAGTAGCTCAGGCTGTTCTGGAACCTCTTCCTGCCTCTGCCTCCCCAGCATTGCCACCAAGCCAGTGTCCCCAATCCCTCTTAGGCTTCTGGATTTGTTCCTTTCACTTAAAACTACAAAGTCCCGTTTTTTCAGAATCCTTGGACTGAGGCTGAGGAAGGATGTCTCAGATGCTTGACTAATGGACTAGTCGATGGCCTTACATGTCCATCCTGAGAGCTGTCCTGCCCAAATCCTTTTCCTCTTGTTGCTCAGACTCAGCCTAGAGGACTCAGATCCCGCTCAGGTCTTCCTCCCCCACTTCCAAGGACTTTGACTAGATTTCCAGGGTAAATCAGGTAAACCAGGGCCTGTTCCCCCAGTAGTTGTGAGATATACGAGCAAGGAAGCGTCAAAGGGACACCAGAGAGTCCTGTGAGTGGAGGGCTGTCTGACCCAGTGGGCCCCTCTCTATTTCCGGCTGGGAAGTTCCAAGCCTGACCAGGGTAAGGGGTCCAGGAGGCAGGACAGCTCTCAGATTATACTTCTTCATTCTCAAGGAAGGAGTCCTGGGCCTATCTAGACTGTCCTCTACCTGTTTGATAAGGATATTTGGCATCCCACAACTGACTGGTTTTAGTGAGCCTGGGAGAACCTGGGGTCCCGCTGCACATGGACAGTACATCCAACACACCAGGTCAGTCAGCCCCAGCCCACTGGGCACTGATCCCTTTGCTATGGCACCATCCGTGCCCAGATAACCACATCTGTCTTTTCAGCCATGTCCCAGCATTCTAAGCAGCCATATACACCCGGCTTCTTTGTCACATGGAGGCAGCTGCTCACTGGTCCTGGGGTCTCTGTGTAAGCTTCATTCACCTGCAAGCAGCATTGCCACCGAGGTCAGCAGTGGACCTCTAGGCATGCCAGCCAGGGTTTATAGCTCTCCGAGATTTCAGGGCATACAGCATCTCCTCTGACTCCAGGAGTTTCAAGAGCAATAGGCAACTGGAGGGAGAAGTGGAGAGACCGCTGGTCAGCTCACTGCTCTCAGCTGTCCCCTGGGAAAGAGCCCTCTAGAGTTTGGCTCTGATCTTGTATATAGTCCATCTCTACCCACAGGGCCTTGCTCTCAGTTCACTGGACTCCCCAAAGTGCCTGTGCTCCTTTCACAATCCTTCTGGTGGTCCTCTCTGGCCCTGCGCCTGCCCTCCCCACTGCTCCGTGCTCAGCTACCTTCCTGAGTGCTGAAGGCAAGTGCTGACTCAGGCAATGCAGGTCTTCCAAGGTAGGTCTCCTGGACATAAGTTGATGGACAGATGGGTGATAGAGAGATGCATTCATTAAAGTGTCTTCAGAGGATTCTGTGTGCTACTGCGTCAAGTTCAGAGCCCATGATTTCTCAGCTACCTAGCAACTGAAAGTATGTGCTACCAGCATCTCCAGACTCCACTTCCCTGTTCTCTCTTATATGTAAAAGTCAGGATAAGATGGCAAATATGTCTATAGGACACAAGAATGCATCCACATGTAACTGTAGGGGTCCAGGATACGTCTGCAGGGAGGTGTCCCTCTATGAGTGCAGGGCATGAGGCTATGCCTTCATATGACTGAATGAGATTAGAATAAGCCTCAACTGAGCCTCTTTCAAATTGGTTATTTTGTGCTGCTTTGATACACAACAGGCTCATGGGAAGTGCCAGAAACAAGAGGAGTCTCTTTCAGTGAGCAAATTCTATGGACCAATATCTACCCCTCTCTCTCTCTCTCACTCTCTCTCTCTCTCTCTCTCTCTCTCTCTCTCTCTCTCTCTCTCTCTTTCTGTCTCTCCAGCTAGAAAAAAAAAAAAAACAAGATTCCCTCAGTAAAGGCAGGTCCAACTTTGCATGCTGCCCTGATTGGCCTCCCCACACTTGATCATGTTTGAGGCATAATAATACTCCTTTCTCTAGGCTCTCCTCCCCTCACTTCCTTCATCCCTCCATCCTTCCGCCGCCCATATTGACCTGCTGTTTTCTTGACTTCCTGGAGATGAATTGGGCTCTGGGATTTATTACTTCAAGTTATTCTAGCTGTATTCCCAATGTAGACCCATCCCTCCTGGCCTAGCCCAGTTCTGAGGTCTCTACTTTTTCTCCACTGCTTTGTTCCTGAGACCAACCCAGCCTACAGCAAGTGGAAACCCCCAGTCCATTCCTGGTTCCATCTGTATCTATACCTACAGGTGTGGTGACTCGGTCCTGGGGTTCTGGGGCCCTGCTCTGCTCACACTATAGATTCCCCTTCTTTCTAGAACTTTCTCTACCCCTCTGTGGCCAAACCATTAACAACAGCTAGGAACATGGCCTCATTCTGGTTCTGTCCCCTACCCTCCCATGGCCTGCCTCACTGGAGACACTGTTTGGGAGTTACCTGTGGGGCCTCCCAAGGGGCCATCCCAAAACTGTCACTGCTTCAATCTCCCCCTAGGCCCTCACTCAAACTCCTCACTCAGCTCTGTGGTTCTTCTTGCTTAGGTGTGCCTTTGCACAGAAGTCCTTGTATAAGCACCATATGCAGACTGACAGAAGGTATTCCCTCATGCACAAGTTTGCATTAACTTGTACTGTCTCAAGAGCTTCCCTGGCCACCCTCTTCTCAGCTATACCATCCCTTCTGCTAAGCCTGGACACTTGACATGTTTCACAATGGCTTACTAGAGCTCCAGTCTAGTGGCAAAAAAATGCTCCAGAGCTATCCCCTGGGTTCTGACAGGTGCTATATGCCAACATCAGGGACTTCTTTAGGCAGGTGGGGAGGGGTATCAGCCCAGACAGCCATAAGGTAGAGAGGCCTAGTAAGGCTCAGTTCTTGTGTGTGTGTGTGTGTGTGTGTGTGTGTGTGTATGTGTGTGTGTGTGTGTTTCTATATGTACCCATGTCTATGTATCTGTGTGTCACCTGTGTGTGTACTTGTGTCTGTCTCTGTGTCAGTGTCAGTATGTCTATGTGCCCCTGTGTGTTTGTGTATCTGTGTCAACATTTTCCCTCCTGTTTCCCCATGCCTGTCATCTGTGTGTGTCTCTGTGTTAAATTCCTCCTCAGCTCAGAGTACTTGGGGCACAGAGTGTGTCCCACCTACCTCTGAGGGAGAACTATACCTTCAGAAACCTTTTCTGCATGAATCACCTTGGCCTTACGGGGGCCTCTGGGCAAAGTCATGATAGCAAAGCCTCTTCTGAGACCCATGTGAAGTGCCTGCATCCTGTGGGTGAGTAGAAGAGCAGAGAGAAACAAAAAGAGAAGCGTGTTAGCAGACAGCAACAGGTGGTGCTGCAAAAACAGCAGGCCGGTCCACTGCATTTACACTGGCTACAGCATCCTGCTTCCCTAGGGTAGGAGCCAGAGAGCCAGGAATTCCCCGAAGGAACCACACAGCTGTGGTGAATGGAGCATTCAGGACAGCAAGAGACAAAGGGAAGCCCCACGAACTGATGCCCCCAGCAGCAGGTCCTCACATTTGTCTGTCTACAGAGGCCCCAGGTTGTGGGTACTTCCTTCCTACTCTTATCTCAGGACCACCATCTCCACACACAAACTCATCATCTGGGGGGGGGGGGACGGGGAGCGGGGCGGGATGAATACAGAATGTCCCAGTTTCCTTGATGTAAGCCATACCTTCTTGGGGAATGCACCTCTATTTAGACCCCACCCACTGGGATTTCCACTATGCCGCCCAACACAGGCATCAGCTCCTGTTACAGGAGTGTGGAACTCCACCCCACTCTTCCTTTCTAATGGCGTAGGAGGCACGTTTGATAACCAGCTAGCTGGCTGGGACCCTCTTCATCCCTAGCAAGCGCTAGTGGGCGTCTACTGGACGTCAGCTAACACAGACTTGTCGCTGAATCTTCAGAAATAACATGCGTTGTTTACCTGATTCATAGGGAACTCAAGCTCACTGAGAGCATTCGAGGGCCAGGGAGCACAGTCAGAAGAGTATGACAAAGAGGGGCTCCCTAATGCACAGGCTCCGCCCCTCAGTCCCTTACACAGCCCCTGAGTTGGGCTGCTGTGGAAATCTGCAGGTGCCTGAAGGCCAGAGGTCTGCTCAGCTTGTGGATCTGTGGGTGACCCTCTCACGCTTACCTTCCCAGAATTTTAAGCGGAAATTCCCATGGATTCCTACTTCCTACTAGGGGTTGGGGATCCAGAATCCCGGTGGCCGCAGATGAAGCCACGTGGTGGAAACAGATCTTTTTAGTGTGCACCCCGATTTAGCATCCCAGAGGGCAGGCAGCGAGACGCGCCCCGCCCACCGCCCGCGCATCCGTGCCACTCAGCCAGGCCGGGCGCGGCGCCGCCAGGGTTAAGGCGCAGGCGTGTCCCCTGGGGTGGGGTGGGCCCGGCAGCCTTGCCGAGCTTCTGGCGTCCCCTCGGATTGGGGCCCAACGCGCTCCCACACCGTTCTCTCCGCCGCGTGGCAACGTCGTCCCTTCGTCCTCCACCTAGCGGGCTGCGGGGACCCGAGGTGCCAGGACACCGCCCGGAGGGAAGCTCGTCTGTCCGCGCAGACGCCCCACGGGCTCCGGGGAGGGACTTGGCCTGCTTTCTGGCCTCCACTCGCCGGGAGGAGCCGTGCGGCTGCGGCTGGCTGCGCGCGGAGCTTCGGGGACACAGGAGAGCAGGCCGAGAGCGGCGCGCACAGGGCCGGAACCCTCGCTGCCTGCGGGTTCCCAGCCGGGCCTCTCCGGCTCCCGGCTCAGCGCGGAGGAGGTGCGGCGACACCGCGGGGCGCGGCCAAGGGGAGGAGAGAGCGGAGCGCGGGCTAGCGCCGGGCCGGCCGGGCCTCGCGGGGCCACGGCTCCGCCAATCTGCGGGCGCTGACGCGGGGGGCGGCTCCGACGCGCTCGGATATCAGCGGGCCCGGCGCGGGGCGCCTGGAGCTCGGTGGTGCGGGTGCTGCGCTCCGGGTCGGCCTGCTGCACCTGCCAGATCGCCGCTTCGCCCTGCGCGCCCCTTCGCGCTCCCCTTCTCGCCCCTGTCTCACCAGCCTGGTCTCTCAGCCGCAGCCTGACAGCGCAAAGGAGCTGCTTTGTCGCCCGCCCAGCACCCGGCATGGCCCAGCGGGTGCATCGCGCTCTGGATCGGATCCGTCGCGCCCTGGCCGGGATGAACAGCCGCGCCTTCTGCTTACACGCCCAATGAGTGTGGTCGCCGTCCCGGAGACCCTCGTCCGCCACTGCGTTCCCTATTACCACTGCCACCAGCTCCACCGACTAGGGCCGCTGGCCGCCCCCCGAGATGGCCTGGAAAGCCGGTGCTTTGGTAGCGGGTGTCCTCTACGACGTCCAAATCTGGGCACAGCCCCCGAGCTGGTAGCTGCTAGTACACCGAATGGACCTTGACCCGTGAGCCGTTGCCAGCTTCGTGCCAAACTGAGGGGCACCGGTGGAGCACGCGTCCGGAACCCCCCGAGCCCGCTGGCCTGCGCGGCCATGAAGATGATCCTGGTGCGCAGGTTTCGCGTGCTCATCCTGGTGGTATTCTTACTGGCTTGCGCTTTGCACATTGCTGTTGACCTGCTACCCAAGCTGGACCGGCGCACCACACGATCCTCCGGGGAGCCCGGCTGCTCCTGTGCTCAGCCGGCGGCAGAAGCAGCTGGTCCAGGCTGGGCCCAGGCAAGGAGCCGACCGGGAGAGTCTGCCGGTGGCGACGCAGGCTGGCCCAACAAACACACACTGCGCATCCTGCAAGACTTCAGCTCAGATCCAGCCTCTAACCTAACCTCCCACTCCTTGGAGAAACTGCCTCCTGCAGCGGAGCCGGTAGATCACGCTCCGCGGGGTCAGGAGCCGGGCTCCCCGCCACCCCGTGACCCCGCGCATCGGCCGCTGCTTCGAGACCCTGGGCCCCGACCGCGGGTGCCGCCCCCTGGCACCCGCGGGGACAGATCGCTCTTAGCCAAGTTGTTTGAGCACCCTCTCTACCAGGGGGCTGTGCCTCCTCTGACAGAGGACGACGTCCTGTTTAATGTGAACAGCGACATTAGGTTTAACCCCAAGGCAGCAGAGAATCCTGACTGGTGAGCAGAGAATAGGAGGCTAGGGTGGGGCTAGCGCGTCCGACCCTTCGGGAATAAAGACAACCCCCTAGAAAGCTATTTCACATGCGAAACATTTTGTGTACCTTTGGGGACGCCTGGTGGGCGGGGCAGATGTGCCTCTTGCCTTTGTCTCCACAATGATTCTAGGGAGAAGGGCTGATGGGGTTTTGGGAAGCTCCCAGTACCCTGGTGTGGGAAGCTGGCGGCCCACCAGAAGCCAGGGGAGCCCAGTGCTCCACCTAAAAGGAAGCATGCTGGCCAGCCCTGGAGATGGCTGAGGAAGCAGATGAATGAATATGTTGGAGAGCCAGCCAGGGAGAGTGGGAGCCGCCTTCCCCTGGGAGGGGTTGGGCTTCTGGCTCTGAGAGCAATGGAGTGAGCTGTTGGGGTGGACTGCTCAGAAGGCCTGAATGTACCTAATAAGTCTTTTCAATCCAGTCATTGGGGACAAAAGCAGCTGAGAAGTGACTTTGGCAGTGTGGAGGGCCTCCCTTTGTGGCCACCCTGCCTGGCTGGCTGTAGAGAGGAAGGCAAGCCATCCTGGAGTTATCTTCCAAGCTTTGTGCCCACCCCCACAACTCCACAGATCCAAATAAGCCCAGCAGAGTGAAATATTAACCACCAGCTGGCTAGAACAAATAACCTGCAAAGGTTCCCGGGCAGGAGAGAGAGAGAGTCACCCGTCCAAAACAACCTCAGAAATCCTTTCTCCCCCTGGAATATGACCAGGCCCTGTGCTTTGTGCCTGCACATGTGAGCCGTTTAGTTGCTTCTGGACTTTGTTGGCCAGAAACCATCCAGCAAAGGCTGCTGAGAGAGTGGTGAGGTGTGGCATCTTGGGGCACTAGCCCTCTTTTCTATTCGAGTGTAGATAGACTGTAGTTGAAGGATCCTCACCTGTCAGCTTTAAAGAAGTCCCTCTTCCCCTCCAGCCTAGCAGACTCAGAGGGTTTGTTTTTTCTTCAGACAAGCTCATGGCCAGAGAAAGCAGGCAGCAGGTCTTCCCTCTGAACCTGAACTGGAGTGACTGACTCCATCACCCTCCCCTCCCTACCTTATGGCTGGACTCATTAAAATCAGATTTAGGCCTTTGCATGGTTCCTGCCCCTGTTCTATGGAACAAAGGCAGAAAAACTGGGGAGGTTTCTGGCTGGCTGGGTGTGCCTATGACTTCCAGGTCGTCTGATCCCAGGAAGAGCTGACAGTCCCTTCCCACACACTCCCAGCTGACATCATTGTTGTGGGGGCACTTTTGGTGACCCCAAGACAGAAGTGTTGGGATAGCGCTGACACTCTGGGTCTAGGCTAGCGGTAGTTAGGATTGTCTGTGGCGTCTCTAGAGGGTAAATAGGAATTATAGGCCTTCAGGTATGTTATTAGGTGGTGGAACCAGAGCCAGGGAAGAAAGTGCAGACACGGCAATGTGAAGCCAGCTTTTAGCCAACCTGTACTTTGAACCCAAAGTCGCAAGCCCTGACCCTCAGGACCAGCACTCCATATTCTTTGGCTTCTTGCCTCTCTTTCTACACTTGACTGTAGCCTGCCTTGGTTTCTTGCAGGCCACATGAAGGTGCTGAAGGCGCAGAATTCTTGCCCACTGGTGAGGCAGCTGTGGACCTCTATCCTAACTGGCTCAAATTTCACATCGGCATCAACCGGTATGAGCTGTACTCCAGACACAACCCTGCCATTGATGCCTTACTTCAGGACCTTGGCTCTCAGAAGATTACCAGCGTTGGTAGGTAGCCACCTGCTTGCCCTTGGTCCAAGAGCACCTTGATGTGGATATACCAGAACTGTGTGAAGTTGGTCTCCTGTGCAGAGGAGCCGCACTTTCTGGGGTGTTTGGGTGTCTGCCTTGATGATTCCATGGGCCAGAAGGGTGACTCAAGGATTACTACCATTATGAAACCTCTGCCCTACTAATGCAGGGTATGCTGCCATGTGACGGCCACCACTTTGACCTCTGGTAGGGTATAAGCAGACACATAGACCCTCCCTCTCCTGTAAAGGAAAACACCCTGATTACCCATAATAGCTGTTGCACCTCCTTCCTCCTTCACCACCTTGCAGGGGCCACCCTTGTCTCTCCTGTGGGTGGCTAGATTGCATAGCTTTGCCAAGGCCTCCAAGCCTGCTCCCTTCAGAGCTCAGCAGGGACTCAAAGATCTCACCAGGGTAGGGAAGGAAAAAGTTGGAGCCTGGGTATCCCACATGAAGCAGTTCAAAAGAAACATCTCCAGGCCTTTATGGTCTACTAAGACGAGAAATTTTTTAAAAAATCCAATTTTTCAATCTGAGGAGAATGGTACATCAGAGGCCGTTTCTAAGCAGGTTTTGGGCTGTTATCAGCTTGCTAGTGATTGAGAGGTGGCATAGGGCAGGCTAAGGGCTGGAGCTGTGCAGGGGTAGTGCTGGCGTGCCCAGCTGCACATGCTTGGACAGCCTGCCATGTGTCTTGAAAGTAGATCAGCTAACAGGCTCCCTCTGGTTATGGGCTGTGGTCCAATTGTTGACATGGAGCAGTTAGAAGCTGCCTGCCTGTGGCACCTACGTCTTTAGAGATATCTGGGGCTCTGCTGAACTGTGTGCTGGGCTACCTGGTTTAAAAAAAATGCAAACAAACAAACCTGGACCCACAGCTTCCTCCAGGGCTTGGCCAGGTCACTTAGTGAAAAAGGGCGAGCTGGTGTATTCTACCCTCCTTCCTCCTGCCAGAGAATGCACCCCTACCTGACCTGTGGAGTCCAGAGGTTTCAGACTGAGTGAAGAATAGTCCTTCTTAACACAGGCACTTTGTTATAAAGGAACCACAATGTGTGCCACTTCTTTCTCCTTGGAGCAGAGTGTGAAGAGTAAAGAACAACCTAAGCTGGACATGAAGGTGACACCTGCCATCCAGCTGCTCAGGAGGCTGAGACAGGAAAGTAGAAAGTCCAAAGCCAGCCAGATTAACTAACAAGATCCCTTCTTAAAATAAAAACCGAAAAGAGAACTGGGAATTGAACTTAGTAGTAGAAGGCTCCAGTGAAGGACTAGGATGTGGCTCAGTGGTAGAGCCCCTGCCTAGAATCCCCCAGTGAGGGGCTAGGGTGTGGCTCAGTGGTAGACCCTCTGCCTAGAATCCCCCAGTGAGGGGCTGGAGGCGTGGCTCAGTGGTAGAGCCCCTGCCTAGAATCTCCCAGTGAGGGGCTGGGATGTGGCTCAGTGGTAGAGCCCCTGCCTAGAATCCCCCAGTGAGGGGCTGGGGTGTGGCTCAGTGGTAGAGCCCCTGCCTAGAATCCCCCAGTGAGGGGCTGGGGTGTGGCTCAGTGGTAAAGCCCCTGCCTAGAATCCCCCAGTGAGGGGCTGGGGTGTGGCTCAGTGGTAGAGGCCCTGCCTAGAATTTTCCAATGAGGGGCCAGGGCCATGGCTCAGCAGGAGAGCCATTTCCTAGCTAGTAGAAGGCCCTAGCAGTGAGACCAGCTCTCAGGAGCACTGCTGCCTCTGTGGATCATACAGCCTAGGAATCGGGAGCGTCTACTACAGTGTCCTTGAAGAGGGTGACATGCTTAGATAGGTGCAGAAATAGCTTAGATGCTGGAGTGCTGTAAGATCCCGCAGCTGGCCAGCCCCCTGTGGGTGCTTGCTCAATTTGTTGTTTCCTACTCTCACTGATGCCTGGTCTATTTCAAGAGCTCAGAAATCAGGGAATACTGGAGTTCTGGGACCTCACCTCAGGGATTTCTGTATATCTTCATGTGCTTAACTCCCACACACACACTCCCAACTCCTTTTTTGGTCTGATTTACTTGGGAAGGATAATAGTCCTTGGATGCCTGACTTCTTAGTGGGATGAGCAGCTCTGTTGCTGATGGGGAAGCAACCTAGACTCTGGCTGGGCCTTGGTCTGATGGGGCGTCTTGGAGTCAGCCAATGTTCTTCTGGGCTAAGGGATACTTGAGTGGATCCTACACTGATGTGCTGGACCCCAGTGAGTGAGATAATTCTCATCCAGTCCTGTCATGGACATGCTGCGCCCTCCAGCATGGAGTTCTGCAGGTGCTCCACACCTCAGTAGCTTGGTATCGTAGATTGGTGGAGAGGGCCATTACCCAGGCAGGCAAAGGACTTTGTCACTGCCAAACGGTGTCGCTTCCAAGCTACCAGGCAGCAACACCCGATCCAACCTAAATGTGTCTGGGGTTGAAACATGAGTTTCAGATCCTTGTAAAGAGGTGGCTTTCGCCCAAGGTGAAGTCATAGTGCTTCATGGCCAGGCGCATTGGTCGCAAGGTTCTGACCCCCTAGCTTTGGGGATTCCTACCAGCACGGTGTGCATCACCTGAATACTTCCTTTCTATATCTGGACTCTGACACCTGCCCCCACATGGAGAAGGCTTCAGCGTGTAAATATGAGTCCGTGGCAAGAGCAGAACTGTCCACAGCTCCTGCCTGGTGCGTCTCCCTGTGACAACCACATTTCAAGACACGCTGAGCCTCTTTCCCCAGGGACCTGCAATCAGATAGGCACCCATATCTCCTCAAAGCCACAGAGTTTATACCTGAAGTAGCGGGTCGGGCCCAGACATCTTGCTCTGTAGGGAGTAGCCTGAATTGGCTGGCCGTAGCCGCAACAGAATTCCCTGGAGAATGCACACTTTCCTGGAGGCTGTCTGTTGGAGGCAGCTCCCTGCTGCCATGGCCAACCTGACTCAGCTTGACCTACCGCAGAGGTCATTGTGGGTATAAAGATCAAGCCAACGTTTTGAGTGGACACCTGACTCCTTGAGACATAGCCTCTCCTGGGCATTCATCATAGCATCGCCACTGGGTAGGTGACAACCAGGTGCTAGTGGACAGGATCTGCTTCTGCCCAGGTGCTGCTGTGACCTGAAGTAAAGTGGAACAGAGCCTTCAAAGGCTAACAGAGCCTTCCAGCTTCCTCCCACAACTAGGGAAACTGAGGCGCCACAGAAATGAGATTTGCTCATGGGTAGCATCCTCTTACTCCTGGCTCAGGGTTCCCTCTTTCCCACCAGTGATAACTTTGTTTTTATAATTTTTTTAATTCTGTGTATGTGCATGAGTATGTGAGCATGTGCGAGTACGTGTGTTGTTTGTGCTTGTTAGCATCTACGCACATGTGTGTATAGGTGTGTGCGTGCGTGCAGATGCGTATGTACATATGTGCCCATGATGTGGAGGTCTGAATTTGGCATTACGTTTTCCAGTTGGTTTTCATTTTTACTTGGCGAAGCAGGGTCACTGAATCTGGAGCTTTCCAGCTCTAAGTAGCCTAGTTAGCCAGCTTGCTCCGGGGATTCCCTGACTGGCTCATTAGGGCTGAGACTATAGGCAACCACCACATCTGCACAGATCTGTACTTGGGTCCTGGGGTTTCAAACTCTGGTCTGTAAGCTTGCACAGTAAGCACGCTATCCACTGAGGCATCTCCCCAGCCCCAGGAGTAATAACTTTCATCTTCAAGTTATTCATCTCACTATGAACTATGAAACCGGGAATACTGTTGTGATGGGAAAGGATACCAGAGGGGTTCCACGCCCTCTTGGAACGGTTCCATTAAGTCTCGCCTGTTTAGAACCTCTTGCTCCTTTTTGTGAGGCTCTGTGTGGCCCACAGCGCAGCTGGCCAAGGCCAATAGAGATTTATTTATAGCTAGGCTCCAGGCTGCCTGGTAACGGACCACTGCTGCCTTTAAAGAAATAGACTATACACATCCACCTCTTCCACATTCAGTGGAAGCCAGGCCCGCCACACTTCTGGCTGGGACCTGTGATAATGAAATCACTATCCATGTACAGTTATGGATGCAACCACTCTACACTTAGAATTGCTTGAGGGGGGAGTGGAGGGTCCTGGCAGCCTCTGGCCTGAGCAACTCTAAGGTGGCTCCATCTAGGTCAGATCAAGGCCCCACAAATACAAGAACAAGGCAGAACAAAAGAAAACAATTCCACAGGCCTGACGTCCTTGTCACTAATTGATCTGCCGAAGAGAAAGAAAGGATAGGGAAAGAAAGAATGGAGATGGGATCTGGGGGAATTGGCTGTGAGCTTCAAGGAACAAAGGGCCCAGGAGATTTTCTGCCTGTGAATAGGGGTGGGGAGGGTAGATCCCATCTCTGTCTGACAAGACCCAGTGGTAGCTCTCACAAGGCAGTGCCAGACACAACAGAGTCACAGGGCCTTGCATCTGACTCTGGGCATGAAGTGAGGGGGGGAGGGTTGACTGCCTGTCACAGACCCCAGTGGTAAAGTGACCTTCTGATAGAACAGGGATCCCAAGATCAGGTGCACCAGGGAGGCATTAATATTAAACAGCTATCCTCTGCTCAATGTCATAGGAAGGTCAAGAGCAAAGGTGGGGGTCTCCAGTGGAGACCTGGGTGCCCCACTTCTCTCCTCTCCCCCATTTTCTCCTTGTGCAGAAAGAGAGTTGAGGCAACCCCCCACTCTCTTGGCTGTCTGCAAGACAGAGCCAACTCCATCAGGGTATTTCTGGTGTTTCTTATGACTGGCACTCTCAAAATAAAAGCAAGCTGCCGGGCAAACAGGATGACATAGTAACACCAGGCTGGAGGCCACTGGGGCAGAAGCTGCACCACGTGTGTCTGGTCTGAGCCAGTGACAGTTTTGAAGCCCGAAGGCCTCACAATAGGCCAGGCGCTTGAAGACTTGGCTGCAGCCTCTATCAGCTCCTACTTAGCTTGTTCAGGCCTTTGTGTCAGGACTGGTT